CGACTCCTCTATTCCCACTTTGCTGAGAGTTTTTATCAAGAAAGAATGTTGGATTGTGTCAGAAGCCTTTTCTGCATCAATTGATATGATTATGTGACTTTTGTCTCTCAACTTGTATATGTGATGTATCACGTTTATTGATTTGTGAATATTGTACCAGCCTTGCATCCCTGGGATAAATCCCACTTGGTCATGGTGTATGATTTTTCAGATGCAATGCTGGATCTGACTTTCTAGGATTTTGTTGAGGATTTTAGCATCTATGTTCATTACAGATATTGGCCTGTAATTCTCTTTCTTTGCAGTGTCTTTATCTGGTTTTTGGATTAAGGTAATGCTGACTTCATAGAAAGAGCTTGGAAGTGTTCCTTCCTCTTGAATTTTTGGAATAGTCTGTAAATGTTTGGTAAAAATCCCCTGTGAAGCTGTCTAGCCCAGGGCTTTTGTTTGCTGGAAGTTTTTTAATTACTGCTTCAATTTCCTCCATAGTTATTAGCCTATTTAGATTTTTTTATTCTTCCTGATTGAGTTTTGGAAGGTCATGCTTTTCTAGGAATATGTTCATTTCTTCTAGGTTGACCAGTTTGTTGGAATACAGTTGTTCATAGTATTTTTTTTTTTTTTTACAATCCTTTGTATCCTGTGGGGTCTGTTGTTATTTCACCTATTTCATTTCTGATTTTGTTTATTTGGGTATTCTCTCTTTGTTTCTTGGTGAGCCTGGCTAGAGTTTCATCAATCTTGTTTATCCTTTCAAAGAACCAGCTCTTGGTTTCATTGTATTATCATTTTTTTAAATCTCCATGTCATTTATTTCCATTCGGATTTTTATTATTTCCTTTCTTCTGCTCACTCTGGGCTTTTCTTCTTTCTTTCTAATTCGTTAAGTTGTTCAATTAGGTAATTTATTACTAGTTTTTCTTGTTCTTTGAGGTAGGCCTGCAATGCTATGAACTTCTCTCTCAGGACTCCTTTCACTGTGTCCCATAGATTTTGGATTGTTGTGTTTTCATTGTCATTTGTTTCCAGGATTTTTTTTTTATTTCTTCTTTGATCGTTTTGGTAACCCAATCATTGTTTAATAACATGCTATTTAGCCTCCAAGTTTATGAATGTTTTTATTGTCTTTATTGTAATTTATTCTAATATTATGCCATTGTGATCTGAGATGCTTGATATGATTTCAATCTTCTTGAATTTGAAAAGACTTTACCTGTGTCCCTATATGGAGTCTATCTTTGAAAATGTCTTACGTTCACTTGAGAAGAATGTATATTCTGTAGCTTCATGGTGAAATGTTAGGAAGATGTCGATTAAGTTCATCTGATCTAGTGAGTTGTTTAGGATTGCTGTTTCTTTGCTGATTTTTGGGCTAGAGGATTTATTCAGTGATGTCAATGTGGTATCAAAATCCCCTATTATGATTGTATTGCTGTCAATCTCTCCCTTGATATCTTTTAGGAGTTATTTTTTAATGTATTTGGGTTCTCCTGCATTCAGTGCATATATGTTTACCAGAGTTATATCCTCTTGTTGTATTGATCCCTTTAGTATTATGAAGTGGCATTTCTTATCTCTTGTTATGGCTTTCACTTTGAGGTCTATTTTTTCAGATATAAGTATTGCTACCCCAGCCTTTTTGTGTGTGTGTGTGTGTGTGTTTTTTCATTTCTATTTGCCTGAAACATATTTTTTTCATCCCTTCACTTTCAGTCTGTGTGAATCCTTTGTTCTGAGGTGGGTCTCTTGTAGACAGCATATCTATGGCTCCTCTGTTCTTATCCATTCAGTCACTCAATGTCTTTTGATTGGAGCATTTAGTCCATTTGTGTTTAAGGTTATTATTGATAGGTACTTGTTTGTAGCCATTTCTATTCTTTATACCTGTGTTTTCTTTTCCCTTTTTACTTCTTCTTTTTACAATAGTCCCTTTAGCATTTCTTGCATTGCTGGCTGGTAATGACAAACTCCCTAAGCCTTTTTTTTTTCTGCAAAGCTCCTGATTTCCCCTTCAATATTGAATGATAGCCTTGATGGATAGAGTATTCTTGGATTCAGTCCCTTGCTTTGCATCACTTTGTGTACTTCGTTCCATTCCATTCTGGCCTGATGTGTTTCTGTTGAGAAATCATTTGGTAATCTAAGGGACCTACACAACAGTTGGCATAATCACACTGCAACACATTGGCACCTGAGAAGTATCAGGCTGCATTTATTATGATAATGTGGGGGTGGGAAGGAACCAGAGCATAGGGAGTGGGCCTTCCTACAGACCTTCCTTCTCCCCCAGCTATAGATTACTTCATGATAACCTCCTCTTTCTTCAGGTTTTTCTCATTAATTTTGGTTTCTGAAATCTAAATTTTCTTCTCACCTCCCAACTCATTCAGGTTAATGTTGGGGTGGGAGCCACAGCCCATTGGAAGCTCCTGATGAAACCCACTACAGGGGCCACTTCTAGTCCACCCTCTAGCCCAGATTCACTACCTTGCAGATCTACTCTGCACTCCGACCTCAGTCGTGTTATTTGGGGTCTTTCCTTGCCACTGACCAGGAGGAATTCTTGTCCACACTTTGGACACATTAGCTCAAGCCTCTCAAAGGTAGCCTGAGAGAGGGCTAGTCAGGGCCTAAAGCACCTGGGAATGGCTTGAATTACAAGGAACAACAAAGACCTCTGAGCTCTCTCAAGAGATTTGGGTAGAATTCCTATTCTTCTGTTTATTACGCATGTGACCAGACAAGTTACTTAACCATGCTAGGCCTCGGGTCCAGATCTTTAAAGAGACCAAACCTAGATAAAAGTACTGAGCATTGGGGTTTGTTCCAGGCATCAGGGAAGTAGAGCTGTGATTTGGCAGATCTGCAGAGTGGACGGGAGATGTATTCTCTTTCACTGAGTTAGGACATCAAGGGGCAAGCACTCACATCACTCCATGCTCCACAAAGAAGCATGGCTGTTGATGAACAGGCAGAGGTCACTATGAGAAGGATCCAGCATAAGGGCTACCATGGGTTGAAAGGAAAGTGGCCATTCTAGGGAGAGCGGGTGGCCAATGCTCCAAATATGAACTGACCAAATGTTGACCAGCCCCATAACTGGGGTTACCATGAGAGAAGGAATGCTTTTCTTCCCACGTCCAGACACTGCTGAGCTGGAAATAAAATCTCTGCATGTGGGGTATAGGGCAGGGGTGGGCAACCTTTTTGTGAGTGGGTGCAAAAACCAGCAAAATCTCTGACTCAAAATTCTTCTGCGTGCCAACCCTAATTTTTTGAGAACATGTTGTGCCTACTTGATATCTCTTAAGGTGTATGTATGTGAAGAACCTTGAAGAAATAATAAAATTCATTCAAGCGACAAAAACACAGTATATGATGATGAAAAATACATTTATTTTTTAATGTATATGTGTACACTGATAGTCTGACAGAAAACTTTATGACTCTGTTTGATATTAACAGTGGGACTTTTGCTGCCGAGAGAAACATAGAAATGTATTCCCCTTTCATTAGTACTGGTGGGCAAAGTGAGAGAGAAGATTTCATTTTTATAGAGTGAAATTTTGAATAAGTAGGTGAGGCGGTTGTCTTGTCAACGAAAACCCGTTGTGTCTAAGGCTGAAACCAAAACACTCACCTCACATCATGTTTGGCACACGTGCCAGGGGTTGCCCACCCCTGGTATAGGGCTTAGAGCCAGCAAGATTCTGGTGACTGTGTGCCTGTGACTTCACCTATTCTCACCTACTGGTGAGGGTCTGGACTATTTGGGTGACAACAGGATTGGAAAGAATTTGCACAGAATACCTGATGGCACTTTGGACACTGCAACAACTGGGGGTTGCTCCCACATTGTCAAGGGTGGGGAGCTGTGTTTGTGAGGCCCTTGTGAGAGTTCTGCTAACTAATTAAGAGCCTATGGCCCAGTTTGTCTGGTATGAGACCCAGGCACCAGGGGTTTCTCAGATATTGCCAGGTGATCCTGATGTGCAGCCAGGGCTGAGAATGGCTAGGTCTGAAGGAGACATGGGAAATCTGCATTGGTTGCCTCTGGGAAGGGAAGGAGAAGCATGGAATCAGCAAAAGGAAACTTTAATTTTACTTTAAAACTGAAGCAAAAATGACTATATGTTAGGATTTGTAATTCTGGAAGGTGAGACCACAGGTATTTATTATGTTATTCTTGATTTTTCTCTATTTATGTTTATAAAAATTTTTAAAGATAAAAAATAAGCTTCTTTGTGAACATGTGTCATTTTGATAAACACAAGAATAATAAAAAAACATTGTTGGTTTTGTTTTATAGAGACAAAGGAAATACTAGTAAACAAACAGAGGCTTCAGATTTGTAACTGTTGAAAACTCAAAAAAAAAAAAAAGAGTCTATGACCCAGACATGTTTGCAGGGGGCAGCTTAGGACATGGCTTATGGATTCAGTGCTGGATCAGCAAGTACTGGGTTAGCTAACCCTCAACCACTGCAGGCTATGGCAAATCCACAGGAGATGGTGGGCCTGGTCCCTGGAGACTTGTGGAGGACAAGGCTATTGGTATGGAGGGATTGGCTAAGAGCTGGTTCCTAGAGCAAAGCTCTGAAAACTGCTGGCTGGGACCCTGAACAATCTAATTCAAATAGACCCTCTGTGACTTTTGGGCCTGGAAGATTCTTCTTCATCCTCAACTCAGAGTCCATCTCTAGGAGGACTTTGTTCCCATTATATTGGCCATCAGTGCCCTATGGGTCCTAGGGCATGCCATTTCCTTCACAGGGTGAGGCCCTGGCCTCTGAGTCTGTCAGCTCTTCTGGAAGTCTCCCTGAGGAGAATGACTCATCTCCAGATGGCCAGCCAGCCAGCCACTCATTGTCTTAGTACGTATTTCTCCACCTCAGTCCAGGGAGAAGGGAGACCTTCCTGTATTGAGGAGCTTGGAGCCCAATGGGATGGGGTTGGTGTGTAGCTCTGATAGATCGGAAACAGGAGCAGGAAGTTGTTAAATTATTTTTATTTTGTCAGTCCTAGAGCAGGCCTCGGGTGGACAGGAGAGCTCAGAGATAGACAGATTTAGGAGAATGCAGGGCCCATCGGCACTAAAGCAGGCATGCTTGAGGGTGAGAACTTGAGAGGGGCACCATGTGGTCTGTCACAGAGCCCTGAGGGAAATCAGCAGCAGAGGAAAGGTCTGTGAAAACACAAGGGTTGTGCAGCTCCTGGGCTTGTGAACAGTGCCCAGAGAATTAAAGTCATCCAAAGCAGGAGGTTTGCTCTGAGGAGGAGCAGAAGAAGGATCAGGATTTGGTGAGGCTTCCTGCTTCTCACTGATCCAGCTGGAGAAGTAGGTGAGTCTGGTGAAGACGCTGGGGCTTATGGGCTGGCGGCAAGCCAAGCTCCAGCTGGATAGCCCCATCAGAAACCAGGTATTGTTCAGCTTGCAGACAAGGGGACCTCCAGAATCTCCCTGAGGAAAAAGAGGGCATACGTTCTTTAGGCAGTGTAAAGAGACTAACCCTTGTCCTCCACTAGAGTGGAGTTTAGGAGGCCTGTATCAAGATGGGGTTATACTTAAGTTGTTCTAATCAGAATCACTTGGGCAATTTGAAAAGTCCAAACACAGGGTCCCACTACAGACCTCCTGGGTAAAAAAAAATCTGGGGTGGGGCCTGGAGCCTATTTCACAAAGTTTCGGAAGAGACCCTGAGCATCCCTCCACACTGGCAGTCATCCTATATAATAAAGAGGCAATATGCAAATTGACCCTCACTCCCTCACAAGATGGCTGCCTATGACCAGGCCAGCAGGGGGCTTAGTGAAGGACGACCAAATGACTGAACAAGCAGGCTGCGTGGGGCAACCAGGCCCACAGGGGCGCTAGTGAGGGACGACCAAATGACTGAACAAGCAGGCTGCATGGGGCAACCGGGACCACAGGGGGGTTAGTGAGGGATGACCAAACAACTGAACAAGCAGACTGTGTGGGGCAACCAGGCCAGTGGGGGGGGGCTGTGAGAGGCAACCAGGCCAACAGAGGAGGGCAGTTAGGGGCAGGCCAGCAGAGGGGGGCAGTTGGGATCAACTAGGCTAGCAGGCAGGGCAGTAAGAGGTGACCAGGATGGCAGGGGGGTGCAGTTGGGGGCAATTAGGCTGGCAGGGGGGGCAGTGAGGGGTGACTAGTCCAGCAGGGGGCAGTTGAGGGAGACCAGGCCAATGGGGGGGCAGTTAGGGGTGACCAGGCTGGCAGAGGGGGGCAATTGGGGGAGACCAGGCCAGCAGGGAGGGGGCAGTTGGGGGCAACCTGGCCAGCAACAGGGGGCAGTTAGGGGTGACCAGGCAGGCAAGCAGGTGAGCAATTAGGAGCCAGCAGTCCAGGATTGTGAGAGAGCTGTCCGAGGGATGATCCAGGGATAGGGTCTAAACCGGCAGTCAGACATCCCCAAAGGGTCCCGTATTGGGGAGGGTGTAGGCTAGGCTGAAGGGACCCCCTATCCAGTGCACAAATTTTGTGCACCAGGCCTCTATTAGACCTATAAGAATGCACATGGAGCCCAGCTGGTGTGGCTCAATGGTTGAGCAACAACCTGAACCAGGAAGTCAAGATTCAATTCCTGGTCAGGGCACATGCCTGCGTTGCGGGCTCGATCCCCAGTGTGAGGTGTGTAGGAGGCAGCCAATCAATGATTCTCTCTCATCATTGATGTTTCTATCTCTCTCTCCTTCTCCCTTCCTCTCTGATATCAATAAAAAATATTATATATATATATATATATATATATATATATATATATATATATATATATATATATATGAATGCTCATGGAGACCTCTGGCAGCCCTCTTGCCCTCCCAGCTCTATGTGGGAGAAGGTATCATCTGAGGTTCCAAGGGGCAGCTTATGGCAGGCCTGGGGGCTTGGCCTGCAGACCTCTGCCTAAATCCTCAGCCAGGTACTTAACCCACCTGTGCCTTTGATTTTGCCTTATTAAGGTCTCTAGTTTTTTCTCAGTTTCTTAGTTGAGCTTCTTTAGAAAATGCTAATCTGTTAGATATGCTCAGAGGAAAAGAGGGGATGCCCGTGCCCAGGCGGGAGGGTGGTTGGAATTGCAGGACAGCCTAAGACAGCGGTTCTCAACCTGTGGGTCGTGACCCCTTTGGCGGTCGAATGACCCTTTCACAGGGGTTGCCTACGACCATCCTGCATATCAGATATTTACATAACGATTCATAACAGTAGCAACATTACAGTTATGAAGTAGCAACGAAAATAATTTTATGGTTGGGTCACAACATGAGGAATTATATTTAAAGGGCCAGAAGGTTGAGAACCACTGGCCTTCTAGAAGAATTCTGGGGGCTCAAGTGCAAGACTTCAAGGCAGGTAGGCATAATGCTTTTATCTTATAGGCCAAAAAGTGGGAACCAAAGAAACACAGTATCCCTCCAGCCTTCTGTTGAATAAACATGACTGAGCACCCTGTATATGCAGGACATAGAGAGGTGACATACAACACAGACACAGACAATATATCACATATATTCAGATGCAAGATGTGGAACAAAAACATCCAGTGGATAGAAAAGGGCCTGCTCTAACTGGGCCATCAGAGAACTTCTCTGAACTAAGACTGGAGGAAAGAGCAAGGCCTGGCTCTGCGAGGTGCAGGCAGAGGTAGCCACTGTGCTTGGTGTGGGGGAGGTTGAGCAGTGGAAGGGCTAGCCCTCATGAGCGGTGTGTGTGTGTGTGTGTGTGTGTGTGTGTGTGTGTGTGTGTGTGTGTAGAGAACACTAAATGACACTTAGCAGGGAAGTGATGTGACCTGATACAGATTCTAAAAGAATGGTAGGATGGTTCTGAGACTGGGTGAGTACAGCCAGTAGCAGGGCATGAATCAGCAAAGGGAGACCATTCAAGGAACTACTGTAGCAGAAAGGTTTATGGAGACAGACAAGAAATGGTTAGGCCCAGGACTGGCAATATCTAACCCTTATCTCCATCTAAAAAAAAAAAAATGGAGCAATACAAGAAGCCAGAATGAGTGCTGAGTGGTGGCTCCTTGGTGTGTGGAGGTCAGAAAGAGGAGGAGAGCATGAGACACAGGAAGAGCCACCCTTGGAGTCGGAGGGAAGCACTAAGGTATGCTGCTGAGCACCACAGGGGAAGGAGGTCTGATGTTGGATAGCAGCGCTATGAAAGAGAGAGAGGGGCACAAAAGCTTCATGGGATGGGCTGAGGTGAGAAGGAGAAATGTGGAAGCAAGAGAGGGCAAGTGCCAACAGCCCTGTGGTGAGCCCTGCTAGGACAGTGGTCTGAGAATCAGGACAGTGGGCAGGGGGTTGGGGGAGGAGAGAAGATACACATAAGGTGTTTTAAGGTGGGAATCATGGCAGTATATATCTGAGCTGTTTGGAGATGGCCAAGGAGAGAGAGAAAGAGCTGGAAAGAAGGTGCAAGAGAGGAAGAGAAGACTGTAGGAGGAAGCCTGTAGTGGCCACAGTTCCAAAGGAGGGCATGGCTTCTCCAAGTTTGACTGTGGTCTCACTACCTTGCATTGGACTATCTACTTCCCTCTCTGAGCCTCAGTTTCTCCACCATAAAATGGAAAGATTGCACAGAATGAGAGAAGACATTCATAATACATAAATCCATAATAGCCAATTCAATAGGAAAGACAGAAGATCCCATAGAACTAATGGCAAAAAACTTGAATATACTGTACAAAAAGGCAATACACATATAAAAAAATGCTTATCTTCATCATTCACCAGAGAAATGCAAATTAAAAATCATGTGCAATGTTTAAAATGAAAATTGTGGACCACATAAAGTACTGGTGGCAATGTAGAGCAACCTGAACTTTTACCTGCTGTAGGAGTCTAATTGGTACACACAGGTTGGAAATCTGCCCTACAGCATTTATGAGAAGAACATGTACCTATTATATGGCTCAGTAATTCTGCTCCCAGGTTATACCCAACCAAAGTGTGAACCCATGTGCACCAATATACATGCACTAGGATGTTCACAGAGTGCTATTTGTAATGGTCTCATGTGGAAACTACCTAAATGCCACCAACACTAGAATGGATAAATAAAGTGATACTATATTCACACAGTGGAACACTATTCAGCAACAAGATAATATAAACCACACACCAGATGAATAAATCTTACAAACATAACACTGACTGAAAGAGACCCAATGAGAATGTGTCCTGTATGATTCCATGTATAGAAGCCCTGACACTATTTTATGGTGCTTAAGAAGCCAGGCCAGGGTTAGCTGGGGGGAGTTAATTGACAAGATAGGGGTATAAGGAGGACCCTTTGGGTGCTGGTTCCAGGAGTGTATCAGTTTCTAAAATGCATCAGATGGCACACTTATAAATGGTGCCCTTTCCTATGAATGCTGTACTTCAACAAAGCTCTTTTAAAAAATGAAGAAAACAGATGGAGTGGACCAGCCGTGGGCAAACTACGGCCCGCGGGCCAGATCCAGCCCGTTTGAAATGAAAAAAACTAAAAAAAAAAAAAAGACCATACCCTTTTATGTAATGATGTTTACTTTGAATTTATATTAGTTCACACAAACACTCCATCCATACTTTTGTTCTGGCCCTCCAGTCCAGTTTAAGAACCCATTGTGGCCCTCGAGTCAAAAAGTTTGCCCACCCCTGGAGTGGACTCTATAGTGGCTTCTGTCCTTTGGCTCTGACACTTCTAACTGGGGTGGGTAAGAAATAAAAAAACCAGAGGCTGAGGAGAGAGAGAGAGAGAGAGAGAGAGAGAGAGAGAGAGAGAGAGAGAGAGAAAACAGATGCCACAGGAGAGGAGAGATAGCCCCGACTGAAGATATGGAGCTGGTCTTACTTACTCGGCAGATGGACTTTCCGGTAATGAGGTCCCCGGCACACAGCATATCCTCATGTAGAGAGTATTTACCCGTGTCTGGCAATTGGAAATAAATTTTACAGTCCTCGTTGTCCATGATGCCAACCTCTCCCTCCTGCAGTTGTGAAGGTGGAGGCAGGAACTCTGCAGGGGAGTGATAGTTTGGTCAGATATGAGGTGGAGCCTGGGGGAGAAGCCAGCTGCCTCTCTAACCTGTCTGCTGAAGAAGAGGTCACCATTCTGGCTAAGAAGATTGAGGAAGCCTCTCAGAGGATGTGTAAAGAGCGGGGGCGGGGGCATGGAAATGTTCAAGGCAGACAAGAGAGCAAAAGTGAGCAGCATACAGTTGGAAGGACCAGGATGGAGGTCAGTGTGGTTGTTATGGGGGTGAAAAAAATTAGGCAGTCATAGCAGGATCCAGGGCAAGCAAGGCCTCCTCACCAGGTTGTGAAGTTTGGATTTCATTCTAATTGTACTGGGAAACCACTGAAGAGTCTACTTAGATTTTAAGAACAATTAATCTGGCTGCTATGTGGGGCCAGAAATAGAGGCACAGAGGGTGGAAGCTATGAGTCCTGGCTTGGTCAAGGAGTAGCAGTGATATACCTAGCAGATGCTAGATGGGGTTAGGTGGTATGACAAATGAAACATGGCCTTGCCTCAAGGAGCATCTGGTTTGTGGACACCTTTCCTGTAGATTCTATTTCCAGACACTGCTCACAGATCTGACCTGGTGTTCTCGTGAGGCAGCACAGTGTTACAGTGACCGAGCACTCCTATGGAGTATGAGTTGTGTACAGCCCTCACATGTTCTCAGGGGCAGCCCAGACCAGCAACTGCAGTCTGGGGGTGGATGGAGTGGAGGGAGAAAGACAATTGAGTCCCTCTTTGATGGCAGCTGCTCCCTGTCCTGGTGGCAGCTCACTTCACTTCATTCCCCAACTCCCATACTCTGACCAGCTTGGAGAATCTTGTTTGGTATGCCAGTGGTTCTTAATGAGTCCATCCCAGGAGGGTGTCTTTGGAAATGTTGGAAGTAGACAGGAGCAGGGATACTGGCACTGGCCTGCACAGCAAAGAAAGTCCTGTCCCCAACGCCTTCACTGAGATGTTCTGCAAAATTTACATCCTATTTTTTCACTCAATGTTATGTTTAAAACAAAAGCATTCATCCCTGTGCAAAAATATTTCCCCAACATTTCTCTTTTCTCCATCTAAAAATATATAAGCCCAGCAAGCAGGCAGAATGGGCAACTTTTACTTCAGTTAGAATAAAGAGAAGTGAAGTTCACAGAGGTAAAAGCTATAAATGTCCAATTCCACCACCCATACCAGAGAGCAGGCCAGCTTCATTTCCTGACTGCTGCCCAAGTACCTTCTGTGGCAGTAGGATTTCAAGAGGTGTTTGACAAAGCAAGCTCTGAAGGAGCCTGACCCAAGGAGGACCTGGGAATCAGGGTGGATTCCTGAATGGCTCAAGTTCCTGCTTCCAAAAGTTAGAGATACTCAGATTTATTTGAACAATGAACTAAAGAAAACTTGAAGTTTTAGGACAGGCTGTCAGGGCCCCATGGTGGCCACTGCACCCCCCTCCTCCTCAGCCTCACTCTCCTCATCTCCCCTATCCTACTCACCTTCTTCAGTGACCATTCCCCAGCCAGTTATCCAGCAAGAGGTATGAGGGGGCAACGTTGCATTAGGCTCTGGGAGGCAGGCAGGGAGGATATGGGAAGTAAAATTCACAGACCTATGTAGTTGCAATAATGCGATGTCACTCCCCATGATGTAGCGCTTATTAAAATCATCGTGGACGATGACTCGGTATACTGTCATCTGCAGGCTGTACTCGGTGGGATGCTGTAGCTTATGGTACCCTAGCAGGATCTTGTAGTCTGATGGCTCATGGGACCTATTGTGGAGAGGCTCCATTATCACCCATCTCCTCTGGGTGCTGGACCAGCACCCTTACTCTGACTGCTTTCCCCACCCCCTGGTTAGTAGAGCCCACCATTATTCTAGTGGTATCTTTCTCCTCCCTTCCTAACATTCTCTTGAGGTGGTTTGATTGCTGTCCACAGCTTCAGGACATTTATCCTTTGAAAGTTACTGATGGCTTTCCCAGCATGCCCCAGAATTAAAGGAGCAGAGAATCTTAGTGCTGGAAACATGAAGTTATACCCCTTCATTTTTGAGGAGAGGAGACTTGGCTCATTCCCAACTTTGACCAGAACCCTTGTAAGGTCCCATACCCAGGAGTGAGTCTCAAAGACCCCATTTCCCAACCTAGAATGATTCATCCTCTTCCTTCCCAGTCCACACACACTAATTTCTCTAAAGGCTGATCCCCACCTGGTGACAGGCACTCAACAAGTCTTTATGGAGCCAAAAGAGGAGTGTGTGGTGTCCTGCTTGTGTTGTCCCCTACCCAGACTCCCCATGCCTGAATCCTTCTTCCATAAGGCCCAACATCTGATGAGATCTACAGCACCTCTCTTGACACTTGCTCAGCATCTACCCTCTCACACATTATGGACTCTCTACCCTGGATCACAGTAGTTGGACTGTGTCTTACTTTTCTTATAGGATGAGAAGTTTCAAGTGGAGCCTTGCATCTCTACATCACCCACAGTGGGCTTCACATGGTGCCTGGCACCCATGTTTGCTGAATAAATGAATAGAAGTGGGGTCTCAAAGCCAGCTGACGCCAGCAGCCTTGTCTTCCTGACATGGAGCATGATGACTTTATCACTCCCTCTGGGCACAGAATAAGCCCAGGATACACCTGAGGAGCAGCCCACTCTCCTAACTGCACCCATCTCCCGGGACCGAGACCATCTTCTTTATTCCTCACTCTGGTCTGTGAGGACAGTGGTGACAACAGCTGTTCTTAGGCACATAGTTCTACAGAGGTGAAAGAAAGAGCTGAGTTCTAGTTAGGTGTGCAGAGTCCTAGCACACCTCTAGAGAGGAACTGTCAAGTGTGCAAGTAGTCAGGACCCAGGGAAGTTTCAGGCAGTTGTGCTGGAGACAGCCTTCAGACAAGAGGGCAAAATACTTGTTCACAATGGGCCCTGACTGATGCTCCCCACCCCCAGCCTTGGTACTGTCACTCTGACTTACAGCATGAAGCCTGTGCCAGGATGTGGCAAGGGACACTACACACCAACTACCATTTGCACAAGAGGAAACTGAGGCACATTGGAATCTTATGGGGCTATCTAGAGCTGGGCAACATATAGAAACCAGAGTCCACCTTGAGTTGAAACAGGATTTAGATTCCTAAAGTTTAGGAAAAATAAAGAATGAACTGGAGGCAATTATTTTGGAACTAAAGTCTGTTTTCCAGTATTTACTGATAATCATAATTAGAGCCAATTTCCATTTAGCTACTTAAAAATAATGTAGCTGAGACAACCACACCATCTTCGTATATGTTACCACAATATGAAGAGGGGGGTGAAAAGAACATCCCCGTGAGGAGAGATGAGGCAATTATCCTCTGTCCTAGGAGAAATGACTTAAGACAGTCAGAAGACTAGAGTCAGATGGTGACAGTGATGGTATTCCAGGTAGAGAGGACTGCAACAACACCCAGAGACACCTGGTGGCAGCAAACTATCCCAGAACAAAGCCTAGAAGAAGAAAAAAGCTGCAACCTTCTTTATTCCCTTCTTTTCTGGCCATTTGTGCTCCCTCCCTCCCCACCCCCCAGCAGCTGCACCCCTGTGGGAAGACTCACTTTTGGAAACAGTGGGCAGCTGAGATCACCCAGAAGGCACTGATGAGGGCTGCTCCACAGATGTGCTTGCCATGGTAGAGCAGGCTGGCCTGCCATGGCCACCGCTGGTCAGATGCATTCTTGCCACCAAAGATCTTCCCAGTCACTACGGGCCTCCCACACACTGTGGAGATAGTCCCAGTCATGAGGCACAGCCTTGCTGCCTCCATAAATCCAGGGTGAAGTGACATGGCCTATGTGACAAAGGCCACCTGGCTTCACTGGAGTGACAGTGTTAAGGAAGCAGCTTGTGGGTCTGGAGGAGGGGGCAAAGGAGGAGGGGGGGCAGCCAGGTAGGTACAGATCAGAATAGCAGTGAGGAGGTCCAGGCTGGGCATTGGCATTTCCCCAGGTCCTTCCCCAGACCGATTTCACTTAACTAATACACAACTGTTTGAAGTCCCAGAAACTGAGGACTTACAGAGGAATGCTGTTTGCTCAGGGCTACTGATAATGACCTGTTTGCACACCTCCCACCTCAGTACAATATTCTAGGGAGCCTGAGGCCAAATGATACATACTTTGCTTGATAATCCCCCTCCTGAAGTAGCACTTCCCATTCTTAAAATGAAGAGGCTGTGGGGGGCTGACAGAGACAGGCTAGTGCAGGACCTCTACTCCTGGCCTAGGATACTGAAATCTAGTGGGAAAGAGCTGCAGGGCAGAGGGGGCACCTTGGTCTCCCCTGCCTCTCCCTCCATGGCCCCACCGCGTATGTTCCGCAGAAACCCAGGGACCTTAGAGCCCAACCCCCTTGGCTGCTGTTGAGGGTGGGACATGTCAAAGTGGGTGACCTGGGCTCCCTTGCCCTAGCTGCCCACTCACCAGCCCCGGCCTGAGTGGTCCTCCTGGGCTGGGCGGTGGTCCCCGCAGGCTGGGCGGTGATCCCCGCAGATCGGGCGGTGGTCCCCGCAGATTGGGCGTGCAGCAGTAGTGAACACAGCCAGAGAAGGGCCACAGCCAGGGCGTAGGCTGCCCACCAGCCTGGAACTGCACCCCCCACCCCAGCGTTCGCCATCAGATGGAGCGGACAGCATCTTGGCCACCACGCAAGGGCAGCTGGGAAACCGCCTCCTGGGGGTCGGTGGAGTGCACTGATCTGGACTCAGATGGCCCTGCGCCACACCGGAAGCTGCAGAAGCTGGTGTCAGGTCCAAGAAGGCAGTCCACACTGGGAGTCCCCAGGCTAATAGGGGAAGCAGAAGGTACATAGGTTCCCTCTATCCACAGGACCCCGGTTTGGTGACAGAGTCATCAGGAAGTTAGAGGTAGACCCGGGAATATGCACTAGTTCATCAGAGGTCAGTTGCTTACATAATATCACCAAATATTGCCAACTTGTTTTCAAGATCTGATGTA